ATATTGCATGTGTTCATGTCTGTCTCTAGTGCGCAGTCCTGTCTTTACACTTCTTATTAACAGTGTTTGTCTTTTCTCTCTCCTATCACATCAATGCTGTACTAATGTGCTCCTAATAAGTTAAAAACCAATTTAGAGTATTATCAAAAATAATGTTAAATAACATTACCAAAAATTGACAAAGAAAGAGCTATAATTTTATAGAGATTTTTTCTTAAATTCACCAAACGAGATGTAAATATTTATTTTTCTATGAAAAACMGAGGTTATTTTATATGAAGATTATTCGAAATTTTAAATATGTATACATATGAAATATAGAATTTATTGTAAATAGGAAAAATGTATAACAAATATATTAATATATTAATAGCTATATAGAAATATCGATGCAGGAGTTTAGTTATAGAGGGATGATATGTTGAGGGTAGTAAGGCGTTATTGCACTAGGCGTTATTGCGAGCAGTTCCTCTATTTTCCTTGGTCACTGTCTGTCTGTCTGTCCGWGGCGATTGRCCGAGGAAGATTGGTTACGATTCTTAACCAATATTCCTCGGCCAATGGAAAYGACAGACAAACGGACGGTTACCAAGGGAAATGACTGTTCGCAGTCTATTATTGCTCCTGYAATTTAAGGGGTGACTTATAATAAACTACAAAACTACATTAATATTATTATATGGTTATATTATTCCAAGTACCACGAAGAGAATCGTTCGTATTTTCAAACAACTTAAGCTGAGTGAGGAGAATCGCTTGAAGTTTCTCTACAAAGCTACTTTGAATCCATTCAAGTTCGTTCTAGTTGAGAGATCGCCGAAATTTTAAGTGCCTATGACCATTAATTTTTTTACTTTTTTATATCAAAATATAAGACATTCTAAGAAACGTGTCGRAAAAAAATTTTGATTCTGACGCGTCTTTCTATTTTTTTCGAGCGGTCAAACATGCAAAAACCGGCATTTCTTTGACCTCTGGCCGCGTGAAATGATAACATAGAAGCCCAAGAAAGCAGTTAAAAGTCCAAAAACTTCTAAAAAACCCCAAGAAACGCAAGGAAGTTTTCAGTATCCCATGCATTTCTTTGTACATCAAAAAGAACGTGTTGCTCTTTTGACGTCCATAACCCAGTCTCCCCTGTCGCTCGGCTTCCTGTGGGGCAAAGGCGAAAGAGATGGACTGGAGGTAAGAAAGAGGGAGAAAAGAGGKGAAGGGTTAGCAACTCTTCCCTCTTTTCCTTCCTCCCTTCCCCTTTCCCCCCTCAACCTATTTTTGGCTCGCCCCTAGTCTTCTCTCTTTTGTTTGCTACAGGARCTCCAAAATATAAGAGTTGCCCGCGGAGAAGGCTAATTCGAGATATTGGCATTCGGCCCTGACTCGGGAACTKCCGAATTCAATAWCCAGGATGKGGAATTTTKYTTTYTKWTTTTTTTTTTTTTTTTTTTTGGGAAAAACATTAATAAATAAAATATAGAGCGGGGAAAAATTGAGCGTGATTCGGGATCCGGACCCCCATTTCCTGACCCTTTTTGTGGCAACTCGTCTAATATGACATGCAGCAACTCGTCTAACATGCAGCAACTCGTCTAATATGACATGCAGCAACTCGTCTAATATGACATGCAGCAACTCGTCTAATATGACATGCAGCAACTCGTCTAACATGCAGCAACTCGTCTAACATGCAGCAACTCGTCTAACATGCAGCAACTCGTCTAACATGCAGCCGAACTCGTTTCTTATTTGCAGCAGCTCATCTCAAATTCAACAACTTTTCTAACATGAAGCAACTCGTTTATTATTTGTTTAACTTCCTGCATGCCTTGAATGGGCCAAGGTCAATATCAGCATAAAAATGACAATTGTCAATCGAGGGCACTCACAATAGTCGCGTGATAATAATAATGATAGTTCCTGAGCATTATTAGAACTCAATGCTCTTACATAAGTGTCCTAAAGTCAAAAGCAATAAATAAAAAATTTACAATATCATTGAGATAGATACCAATGAGATAGATAGATACCAAGAAAAAAAAAAAAGAAAAAAAACAACTACTAAAGGAGGGAATGACCTTGAAATGTTATGCACACGACGATTCTCACTGAACACATAGGGAAACTCAAGGAATATTGATACAGTTTGCAGCTTCATTCTTGTCTAAAATAAAATCAAAGAACGGCAACAAAACAGCAAGCTTTCCTCGCATTCAGCGCCGCTCTCCTATTCCACCATCTTACTTTTCTTGAAAAAGCGCGGCAACGTGAAAGAAAAAAACAGATTGTGGATTGTCAATATTTTATAGTCAATATTTTATAAACAATCTTATTATATAATTACCGATGAAATATCTATTTTTCTCTATTTCGAAAAATTGATATCTTCACGTGTGAAAATAACACCATTGCGATGGCTATTCAAAAATACACGGAAAGAATTGCCTGAAAAAGCCAAAACATACTTCATTGATAATTATATAACCTCTATATATTAAATGGATATAAGTGGCGCGAAGCTAGACAGGAAAGTATATTTTCGAGTGGTGAAATACTTTCCAACACGAGTAGATAAACTTGATATCTTCAAGCCAACGTGTAATTTTCTTTTTATTATATAGAAAAATTTACAACAAGCCTATATCGCTTCGAAAGCGATGATGTTTCGGCCCGTTATCTATTTATTGTGTGGCATTGCTGAATAAAGAATTTTGGTCTTGCTGTGGTAATGATTGGGTCTCCTGTATTTTGGAAATGGCAGACAAGAGCGATCTCGCGGTACGCTTTCACGTTGCAAAGTCTTACGCAAATTTCGATGGAAACATTTGTTATAAAATTCTCTTGGACGAAATACATCGTAATTAAGTTTTTTGGAGATTTTAGTGGTTCTTGCTTTGAAACATCGTAGTGTTTTGGGGGAAAACAGGGCAACGTACGTACATATAACGTCTCGCCGAACGAATGAGAGATCCGACAATAGATATGAACAATGATTGAGTATATCGCAGAGAGCAGAGTACTTGGTGCAAAATATTTTGGCACATGAGCATTACTGTACGCGCTATGTTGAATGTAGGATACTTTTTAAACCTTCATTCTGCTCTTTGACATTTATGGTAAATGTATTTAGCTCTTATATCGTAGCTTGAAGAAAATGCGAGTCTCAATTCGAACGAATAGATACAAGGCTTGTCTTTGACCAGTGCGCCGTCACCAATCAACTCAAAATTTACATCTTTTTGTGCTTCAAAAATATTACCGAATCCAAGAAATTATACTTTAAATCAGAGTATTAATAAATGAAAACTGATGATTTTATAGAAATCTATCTTTAAAGTTGTAAAGTACGCACTGTTTGTTTATAGGACCTAATTTAAATAATAGCTGATAGCAAAATCATGTCCTCAGATGCGCACGAAGCTACAACATATCGGAAGCTTGCTTCACAAAATATATATGCATCAGCTGTTAGTTACATAGATAAACTCACCAGTTTTCTCAGCTTATGCTCACAGGTAGCTGAGACTGTTGCCGCACAATCACAAAAGCTTTTGGATAACTTTTCAATGACTTACCTAGTTGGCGACTTGGACCTAGATACTGACTTAGGAATAAAATACGCATTGTCGTAGGGTTAATCAATATTATATTTTTTCCCCAAAAAATGGCGTCATGCGAAAGGGCATAACTTTAGTCTACACAACTACCTCAGAGAAGATTCACGCAACTCTCCCAAATACTCCGCATGGTGAAATGTTTTACATTTTCCCATTGCTTATGATGGAAACGGCATATGATTGGATTAGGTCCAAAACTCTGACAGCTAAATGACACGCACGGAGACTATTATGGTCCGGCAAACCGAATGTAGTGRCTGTTTCGGCCTGAGGGCCGAAACAAAAAATCTACGCAAGTTAATCAAAACAGGTCCCGGGAAACATTGCAAGTGACGTCATCAATATCCTCACTACTGAAGATATGGAAAATAGTTACGCGGGTCCCGGATGTACTTTATACGAAAAATAAGAGTGGCGTTTTTCCCAGTAAAACACTCACGGTGTATACATTTATTTCAATAAAGTTAGTCGCCTGAAAAGCTATAAAGCTGAGACCAACAAGGGTTATGGGTAGTTACATTTTACATGTGTTTCAACCGCTTGATAACTGTTGATGGATTTTAGATCTTTTACCAGTTACAGTCTCACCTCTTCTGAGCATCCTCAAGCTGCTGTATCCAAAGCTTTACTTGTTTGATATTAAAAGTTTCCCATGATCCTCAGTGATCTCAGCTTTTTAGGTTTTTTGGTGACTAACTTTATTGAAATAAGTGGATAATAAATGTCTTTTTGCATAAAGGTGCATTAAAATAATTTTTCTGAGGTGGTTGTTCTGCGGATTCTGCGTTCAGCGGTCCGTCAATCCACGGTTCATCAACGCATAGAATTTCCAAGGCAGTAACGCCTGATGGGAAGGAACAGTTTATGTAATACTGATAAATATACAGCTGGTTCTCTGCATTCTAATGATTGATTGATCAGTATTTTCAATGGTGTGTGATAAACACATTCCCCTTCAATCTCTAGTAGTGGTGTACGGGAATTGTCAGAAGGATTCGATTTAAATTCATTAGTCRTGTCCTACAATAGCGTAGATACTATAATAAATATTTCTGTGCTTTGAAAAAAAATCCTTTTTCTTAATAAAACTAATTTTTTGACGCCCTAGATCTAATTATTTTGGAAATTATAAAAGATGCCTAGAACATTCCAATTAGGACACCGTTAACTACAGATTTTAACTAAAAACTAATTTGATCGAAAGGTTTTGTAGATTGTAATAGGCTGGGGAAGGCGGCAATCAAAAACAATTTTTGAATAAACCAAAATAAGGAAGTTATGAAGCTTCTATATAAAAGAACCTTCTAGTTTTAATCTTAGGCATTTATAGCCGGATTTATTTTTAGGGCTTTTTAAACTAGTTTCAGAAAAGCAAACGTTTAGAGAAACTTGTCTATCTCTGCCACTTGAAATGATGTCGCCATTTTCCCGCGCGAAAAATTGTGGTTGAAATCTCATCAACAATAATAACCTTAACTACATAAAATTTTCAAATCCAGTCATCTTGAATTGCGCTCGTGTGATTAATAAATGAAAGTTTCTGCTTGAATTTCGCTTTTGTAAAAGGTTTTTTGAGAGAGACGCGGTATTCGTAGCGAATGCTGCTAATTAATATTCGGCTTGACTAACTGGTTTAAAAAAGTTGTACAAAAAATTATTGTACAAACGGGATTAAACTCGTAAAAACTGTTTGAAAATATTAATTCAAAACAGCTTAACATTACGAGGCTATTATTTATTAGTTTGGAGGCATTTTCTTAAAATAACTGCGGCTTTTGCGTTAAGTAGTTCGTTTTCGTATCTCAGGCAAGCCATTTAAAAGCACTAATTTAATCGCAAACTTCAATAACGATTTCTTCATATGAAAAAGAAATTTGTAGTCTTGCGGAGACACGGAGTTAAACAAAGAATTTGTTTAAATTCGGAGCTTATGTCTTAAAGCTTTCGTTTCAAAAACAATTTTTAATTTAAAGTAAATAGTTTTGGGAATGAGCAGCTGAACTTATCCGTGCCGACTTGAGCACGATAATTATAAATAATAGTGAACTATGAAACCCTTTTAAAAATAGTTAAAATAATTGGTCAGAGAAGAGCTAGAGACAGCCGAGAGAAGACATTTCTAAAGCAAAATAAGCCATTTTTAATAAGAATTACAAAGAAAACTAAGATTAACCTTTTTCCTCTCAAACTCTTTTTGGGTTTTGTATATACAAGGTAACAGGATATAGTCTTATGATATTGATTTTTTTGGGGATATTGTGGTTTCAACAAACGGTTTTTGTGTTAAGCATATCAGTGGTTTTCAAATGCGGAACCACAGAGTTTAAGAGGAAACGAAGGAAACAGCTTTTGACCTCTCTTACAAAACAACTACGCTTTAATTTTCGAGCAAACTCCTGATTAAATCTAATCAAAAATGCATCGAAAATTATACTTATAGATACGATGGTGTCGTTCTTCAACGAACTGTATTCTGTCGTAAAAAATATACTATAATCCTTTGGCGCTAATGTATTTGAAGAATAAATTATATATATATTTAATAGAAAATATATAAAACTCGAATATTTTGAAAGCTTTTGAACGAAGATTTATCTTGTAAAAGAGGCTTAACAATCGAGTGATTATATCAGCTCGTTAATCTTAAAAAGAGGTGACCTGTGTGGATGTTCAAGGGTGTTTCCATTGCAGACTTTGAACCATTTTATTCACTTCCGACAAACTTTCTTCATCTCCATATCACAAGTTTCAGTTGCTTGCAAATTACATGTATTAAAAAACAAATTTCTACAGATCTAGATTGTGTTTAACAAGAAAATAATTAGCTACCCTGCGAGCAGAGTCTCCTTTTACCTAATAATTAGCTTAATAGGGACAAAATCGAATTTTAGAACGATAGTGATAATTTTTTCTCGATACAATTTTTAAGTTCACCCTACCTCCCTAAGTCATCTTCGAAATTTTAAAAACTCAAATTACTTTTGGTTTGAAAATATATCTCGAAAACAGGAAGCTGTTTTTAATTATTAGGAATGACAGTTAACAGATAATTTTGTTTATGTTGTCGGGGTTTTGAGATTTTAAATTTATTTAGGTCGTAGAGATAGGATCTAACTACCCCTCCCTCGCGCTTTTGTGTTTTATTTATAACAATTGTGACGCACATGCTCGAGCAAGTCATCCATCATGAAATACAAAACTGCCGTGATTTACAAAAGCACAGTTTCTTATACGATGTAGAAGACCTTGGATTTTATGGAGTCTCGGAATAACTATGAGAATCTGGAGGTTGCATTTGGGATCGTTTGTTTTGAAGCTTTTTACAGGAACGATTGTATTGAGCATTTTTTCTTGTTGGATCCTTTGGTATCAAGTCTCGGTGAGCAATAATCCTCTGACTCGACGCTCCGTTGTGAGTTTTACTACGAAAAAATGCAGCAATCCACCTCGATTCGACTCTTCGTCTTCAAAAGACGAAGACAACTTCGACAGCATTATCAAAAACTACACAAATGTACGCCCTCAGAGGCAAGTCTTAGTAATATTTAAACAAACTTCTGTAGTGTTTCGAATGAATATCGTTACAATATTAGAATCAAACAGAATCCCTTATCAACTGGTTTCTTTTAACGATAAAACTATTTTACCAGTATTAGAAGAAAATAACGTTGGGAAGTTTGCTATTATTGTTTTTGAGAGCTTGAAATTTTATACAGGATTAACGATTCGAACTCGAAGGACGCTCGATCAATATTCGCGTGAATTCTCTGCAGGACTAGTAATATTCACGGTACAAGAAAACTATGGTTATTTAAATTATTACTCTAAAAGACTAAAATTACGGCTTCGAACAGAGATAAAAGATTTAAAAAGTGCAGAGTTGAATCCACGATCACCATTACTTAGGCTAACAAGAGCTGGAGGGGTTGTCGAAGGTGATTTACCAACACAATGGACTGTCTTTTCATCGAACCATAGTACACATGAATACGTCGAAGTCGCGACGCAAGAAACTTCTCTTTTTGATAACAACATTAACGATCTTGATTCTGATTCTGCATCCTCCAAGTCCTATGCTTCTAAAAGATTTATCACCGTAATGCTGGATAAAGGAAAGCTTGATGGAGTGAAAAGAGTATATTTTGGTTATGGAGTGAGCTTCTGGCTTCATCGACTTTTATTCATCGACGCTCTGCATTTTTTATCCAATGGAATTATTTGTAAACCTCTACAAAGGTGGTTCTTGGTGGACATTGACGATATATTTGTCGGTAAAGTTGGTATTAGGATGAATAAAGATGATGTTCAGGTAAGCAAAATTGTTGGAGATTTTTCCTTATACGAGCTAATCATGTTATCATGGCGCCAAATCAGCATGATTCCATACATTTTGAATGTGTTTATTCAATGAATAAATCCCAAACAGTTACGGCCTTTCGCTATGCTGTTATTTTAAGATCAATGCCAACAGATTTACTATTATTATTATTATTTGTTTAAAGAACCGGAAATAACTGACAACCCAATATATGCTCATTAATGCCATTAATTCTTTGTGCGAACATTTCAATGGTTTTCCCCTCTTTACCCCTTCAACATCTCAATATCTACATTAATTTATCATATTTATATAATAATAACGGGCTTCGTATATAGCGCATTTTACATGGTCTCAATGCCCTTCACAATCATGACCAGTAGAGGACTTTACGGGCTGCGTATTTAGGCACTAGTAGCAGCCGTGCAGCTTACAATCATGAGTGATTCGTTAGTAAGTTAGTATTAATGCCTCCAGATTGGGATAGGCTGTTGAACCGGGAGACAATCCCCTACTCTTATACGAATAATTCAACAGGTTCTTTTATGTCCCCCATTTACTGTTGGTTAGGAAGGGTTGGGAGACAGGGCCTACGGTTTTAAGTCCTTGTTCATATTTATATGCAATTACTATAATGCTCAGTCCTTCAAAAAATATTCCCCAAATTTTAATATGATTTGCTTTTGTTATATTTTATTTCATTTATCCAAAGTTGTAGATTTTAATGATTTTTCTAAGCTTTTGTGGTAACAATTTCTGATTGATATTCCCAGCAAATTTCCCAAGTTTCCATTATCTGAAAATCAGTTAATGCCGTAAACTAATTTGTTTATTCCCTGATTTATTGTTTAACCTAATTTTTATAATTATTAATACAAATATTGAGCCACATTTTTTTTGGTGAATAAGCCTGAAGTGAGATGACGTTTTACCCCCRACTCTATACCATAATAGTTTTTAAAATTCTTTCATATTAAAATTTTTGATTCCTTAGAGAATACAGGAACAATAGTCATAATTAAAGAACAAAAGCAATGTGAAAAGAATTATGGTCTAGAGACGGGGGTAAAAAGTCATCTCACTTCAGGCTTATTGAAATTTTCAGCCTTACACTACTCTCAAATTCTACGGAATATTTATCAAAAAATATTATAATATATAAGGTCAAGTTTATGCRTTTGACATTCTCTCCTTGAAACTAGACCAAAAATATCAACAACAAAGCAACAAATAAATATAGTTACATCAATTTTGAAATGTATTGAAAAGATGAACAATTTGGTCCCGAAACATGTTTCACAGAAAAGATGTTTATCATCATTTCATAGCCCTTGAAGTAATATTTCAAAGCCGACAATGAGAACTGGATGGAATTTCAAGCCCGTGCAATTAGTTTCAGTCCGAAAAATAGCCCATTGATTGGCTGGTTTACTCATGAATTATTAATGAGTATGAGAATTATTTTTAAAATATGCATTAGTCGAATAGGAACAGAAGAAGACAACGGAATTAAGAACTATTTACCTATTTTAGTCTACTGACTTTATTATGGGTCGTTAAAGTGCTACTCAAATTGCTCAAATTTGGATTCAGCTGAAACTTCCTAAGAATACTCTTTAAAGGTCCAATAATCACTGTATGAAGTGTTTTCTCGATATTCAGGACGAAAGTATGATATTTTTAAGATTATTTTTTGGAGTCTTTGACGTCATAAACTCAACATCGAACATGCACTTTAAGAATATCACTCTATGTTACTAAACTTGTATGCAAAGTTAGCTTATAGCTTACATCAAGGCTCATGTTTCTATATAACAACTGCTGTTTCTGGATTCTGTTTCCATTAATGATGAAAGATTTTYTGTATTGTACATTCTTGGGTATCGTGACCTTATAAACTATATGTCTGTTAATTAGAGTAATCGTATTTAGCCAAATCCAAATAAGGACGGGAAAAAAGTGTATTGAACCCTAAAATAACCTTTCGGCACTGATATTAGTCAGGACACAACAAATTTTGAAATTTGAAAAAAAAAAAATCTATAAATATTAAGCCGGTAAATTGGAAAGTGTGGATTTTATCATTTTATCCAACCTAAATTTGTAATAAACAAATTATTACTTGTTAAGACAAGGGCAGATCCAGCCAAAAAAAATYTGGGGGGAGGGCTAATTGAGTTTCTTCCGTCAACACAACGGAAAACAATAAAAAAAAGCATGTAATTCTTCAGTTTTGTTTTGTTTTTTTCTTCTCCTGAATTGGGGCTTCAACCCCTCTTTGCCCCCCCCCCCGGATCCGACCTCGTAAGAGCCTGATATCGTTTTTATTTATTTACTCATTTTTCATATGATATTGATTGTTCAAGATGATATGGAAACTTATGAATGAAAAACGATATCAACCTCTTTACAGTTGTTMAATAATCTCAGTTTTAATTCACTCGTTGTTTYGGATCAAAAACTYGCTTGAAGACTTGCTCSTTCATTTTTTTGATACTGCACAACTCGTGAATTAAAACCGYACACACACACTTTCCATGAAGTATTCTCTMYATATATCATACAGATATTTAAGTAAAACTGAAGTTTCGTGAAAATCCTACATAAACTTTTGATGATATGATTTTTTTAAACATAAATTTTTACAAAGAAATGTATGTTGGTTTGTAATGCATGATAAACCTCAAAAGCTCCATCCTATCTAATCTTTTCTAAGAGTAAATGGCTTGTTGAACCAAGGTGTTGAAGTTTGTTGTGAAATGTGATCCTCTGGGTGWGTGTAGTCTTGAGAAAGATTGTTGTTGGTGGTGACGTGACTGACGTTTCGAAAACCTAAGAGGAAGTCATCTTCAGATTCCAGTGAGAAAATGGGACATAGTTGATGGTATTTATACCTCTGGTTCGCTCGTAATGTAAATAGTAATTAGCCGGTCTAATCTTTTCTAATTTTTAACCAATTAATTCCATCCAGGCACTTATTTCTTTACAAAAACGAATCAACTCAAGAGTCCCTGGCTTTAAGTTCAATTTAGGATTTTCTGGCTACCATTTTCTGCGTGGTAACGAAGAGGAAGATGAAGGAGACAATGAACTTATTAAAAATGCAGACAAGTTTTGGTGGTTTAGCCATATGTGGATGCACAGGAAAGCRCATGAAATCAAGACGCCGCAAGAACTGAAGGATGAATTGATGTTGAACCTTGATTTTGCAAAGGTAACATAATATTGTATAATAATAATGATTATTAATCAATTTAGTTATGGATGCCCCTCCCCCCCCCCCACCCAAATTTTTAAACAACTTTTTTGAAAAAAAAAAATCAAAAACAAAATATATTTAACCAAAACGAAAGAGGAAAATAAATTACAACCTAGGAAAGTGCACTGTATAAATCAGTTTATACGAATACGAATTTGTTTCTTTTTTGTTTGCGCGATTATTCGTTTATTTGTCTTATGGGGGAAGGAGTAATTTTTTGGGGGGGTCAGTGCCCCCCTCCCCCCAGCTCCTAGGTCCTCGCTACGCCCCTGCTGAGACAACTTCTGGGCTGATACAGGGCATTTAAGTCGACAAAGATAGAAAATATATAGATTTCTGTGTGCTTGTCTTTCTTTTGTTCCTAAGCTTGCTTCCCTAAGCTGTCATGCAGCTCCAAGCATGTTTATATCATAGTCAGAATATTAATTGTATCATCACTTTATAATCCCATATAAACAACTATTGTATTGTTTTCAAATTCTCTTTCCTGTCCAAATTAAATATTAATTTGGATCGTTTCCATTCGCATTCTTTTGATGGAAAACTATGACTTATGGAATCAGTCTAGTATAGTTTGGGATGATATAATTAATCTGCAATAGGACTACATGTCTGTCCAATTTGGAAAAAATTAAATTCAAAAAATTCCTCTGACTGCCAAATTGGACTCGGCTTATCAGCATCTTCCAATTTTGTCGGTCCTCAGAA